TTTGAGTTGTAAGGCTTGAAATAATTTCTTAATTTTACATAAACCATAAAATATCTAGTAAACCATTCATTTTTCGATTATCTTACCTTCATACTTTTATGTACAAAATAATGAGAGGAATCAATTGGTGTAAAGAAAACACATAGTTGTTTCTAAGAAAAAATATGTAATTTGCAATTAACAATTCCATATTTTTTCTTAAAAACAACTGTATGTTTTCTTTACACCAATTGATTCCTCTCATTATTTTGTACATAAAAGTATGAAGGTAAGATAATCGAAAAATGAATGGTTTACTAGATATTTTATGGTTTATGTAAAATTAAGAAATTATTTCAAGCCTTATAACTCAAAAGGTACTTAATAAAAAGGTACTTAATTGTAGTGTTTTGGAAAGCTCTCGGGATAAGCTACAAGAATATGCAATGAAAAATAGGAGTTCCCATTTAAGATTTCAAACTTGCCCCCCCTCACCGCCCAGAGGGAGGAGTGGGGGGGCTGATTTTAACGTCATTGTACGTCCCCCTCGAAATGACGAAATTTTGATTGTAACCATTTTTTCGTAGTGTGCTTATTTTTCGAGTTATTTGGCTGCCTAAGTTAAAATGGGTCACCCTGTATATATTGTATATATATACAGGGTGTCCCAGACCACCCGTCTCACCCGATTTTTTCATAAACGCGACATTGTAAAGAAAAATGTTTCAGACAAAAGTTTTGTGACTTCGAGGGGGACATAAGATGGTGTCATTGGTTTGACCTTGGATAGTCGTTTGAAGATCACGTGAAGGTCACCTTTAATTTCTTAAATGGAAACCCCTATTTTTCAATGCATATTCTTATAGCTTATCTCGAGAGCTTTCCAAAACACTACAGACAAATGTTTTTTCATTAAGTACTTTTTGAGTTATAAGGCTTCAAAGTTTGCAGTACTTCGATATAAAATACAAAATATCTCGTAAAATATTTAGTTTTCGGTAGTCTTACCCTAATACTTTTATGCACAGGATAATGAGACAAAACTATTGGTGCAAAGAAAACGTATGATTGTTCATAATAAAAAATGTGTAATTTGCAATGCACTTTTTGTTATAAACAATCATGCGTTTTCTTTGTACCAATAGTTTTGTCTCATTATCCTGTGCATAAAAGTATTAGGGTAAGACTACCGAAAACTAAATATTTTACGAGATATTTTGCATTTTATATCGAAGTACTGCAAACTTTGAAGCCTTATAACTCAAAAAGTACTTAATGAAAAAACATTTGTCTGTAGTGTTTTGGAAAGCTCTCGAGATAAGCTATAAGAATATGCATTGAAAAATGGGGGTTTCCATTTAAGAAATTAAAGGTGACCTTCACGTGATCTTCAAACGACTATCCAAGGTCAAACCAATGACATCATCTTATGTCCCCCTCGAAGTCACAAAACTTTTGTCTGAAACATTTTTCTTTACAATGTCGCGTTTACGAAAAAATCGGGTGAGACGGGTGGTCTGGGACACCCTGTATATATATATATATATATATATTACATACGTATTCATACGTATAACATTATAAATATATTCTCTATATAATAACAATTGTAATAATTTCTAAAATAGTTTACGGCAATTTTTTCTAAAATAAAAAAATATATCCTGTAAAATATTTTGTCATCATCTTATTCTTACGTGTGAAGAAATGCGCGCCGTTATAATTAAAGAATAGAATTTTGGAAACATGTCTTGGACTCTCAGATCATTGCATGATATCAAATTTACAAATTGGTCTTATGTACTCGGTTAATAGTAATTATTGGTTTTATGTTTAGTTTTGATATTTTATTTTTTAATATTTTTTTATAAAAGTTATTTGTTGAGGTTTTGTGTTTTTAGAAAAATGATTTTTTGAGGGAAAATTATTGTAAATTATTTTTAAGGAATTTTTTTATTAAACATGCATATAAGGTAGAATAAATTTTATGTATTTGGCGTATTTTTTAAAATTTTGTAAGGTTTTTTAGAGGTTGTTTTTTTATTCCAATCTTTATATGCTACATTATTTTCTTATGTGATTACTAGTGAATCAATAGATTGTATATTTCATGAAAAATAGTGATAAATAACAGAATTCGCAATGTTTGAAAATTTATAAATAATTGCATTCAATATGTATAAAAATTTACAAAATACGTTGTAAAAATGCAAAAATTATATCTTGGACAATCAAATGACTCATTATCGCCAACGGTCATACCACGTTGTAAAACACCAGTTCTCGTCCGATCACTGAAGTTAAGCAACGTTGGGCATGGTCAGTACTTAGATGGGTGACCGCTTGGGAACACCATGTACTGTTGGCACCATCTTTTCTTTTTGCTAATTTAAATATTATCAATGTTGAGATAATTTTTTTATTCCAACCCTTATATGCTATATTATTTTCTTATGTGATTACTATTGACTCAATAGATTGTATATACATTTCGTAAAAAATGGTGATAAAAACAGCAGCGTTTGAAAATTTATAGATCCCTCTAAAAAAACCTTACAAAGGCAAAAAAAATAGGTAGAGTAGATAAAAAATATTCCACCTTGTATGCATATTTAATAAAAAAATTCCGTTATTATTTCCTGTTAAATTCCCAGAACATTAAGATCAAATTGAAATTAAGAGGCAATGAATTGTTTCCGTATAAGAAAGAAAATAAAAGTAAATACATTATTATGCTAAGAAAAAGACGTCAAAATATATACATTTTATGATATATAATTATGATTAGAATTTCTTGCGTTATTATTATTATTTTTGTTTTTTTCCTTTTCTTCTTCTTTATATTATTTCTTCCTTTTTATATTATTTTTCTTTGTATTATCACTACTTTTGGGAGAAATCGTTGAAATAGATGAATAATTTTCGAACTTAGATTGGAGGAATCTTTTATCTTAATTTTATTATTGTATTTTAATCTGGACCTGTGTTTCGGCAAATTTAGAAAATTTTTAATTCTAACTATACACATATCCGCAAGCGAATTCTATACTTTCTTCAATGAGTAAACGTTATTCATATTTTTATTACACATTTACTTTTTATTTTGTTTTATTTCTTATATTATATTATATTAATTATATGTATATTGTATTAACCAGTCAGAATTTAACTCTTGTCCACGAAGGCAAGAGAACCAAACACAAATTCAATTTCCAGATTGGAAGATGATCTAGTCAACATATCTTTAAAAAATAAAGAATTAAAATTATATCGAAATTATTGAAAACTTTGAGTTCATAACGCTTTTGGAATTAATATAATACTGTAAAATAATTGCATATACTTATAAAAATTTGTGTGTGTGTGTAAATAACTTGATAAATTTGAAAATAAATTAAAAATGTTACATCTTTCCTTGCACACATTTTTTTACTAGAATAATATTTTATTATTTATGTAATGCTTACACAAAATTATGAAACTTATATATTTTATAACATAATTTTGCACTATTTAGTTATATTTAGATTTCCTTTTTATCTATTTTTATTATATTTATAAAAAACATTGGACATTGATAGAATATCATAAATCTACAATTAGAGCCAATAAATTAAGATACAAACAATGATGGATTATTTTTTTATAAAAAAAAAATAAAAGTATGGAGAGAATACAACTTTTTAATTCCTATAAAATGCATTTTAAAAATAATTAATTAAATATATCAGACAGAAATTGATTTAATCATATATTAGTATTTTATTGCGTTTATTAACTGATAAGACACGTATTAGTCTGGTTTTATATTATTTCGATTTTCAAAGTTGTTTCCATAACATGCTTATTATGATATCGCTTGTCGAATGTTGGCATTTCTCGGTAGTATCTCAGAACGGCAAGCGAGAGAGAGATCAAATTAATATAGATATATTTTCAATATTAATAATAATTTATAGTAATAAAGAGTTAATTATAATCTTAATTATTATTAAAGAACTAAATTGTGATCAGCTGACATCATAATATACGAGGTGAGTTATAACAAGATAGAGTATATAACCGCTTTTAAAAAAGTAAAATGTGTACATTAGATATGTTGAGAACAATTTAAATAATTTTAACATACATACATAACCAACATAGTATTTTTCTTCAGAGACTATCGTTTTTCTCAAAATTGTTGTATTTATAAAAATATTAGAGGAAAAAGATTTTAATTTTACATGTGCGTGTATTATTATATTATCTTAAAAATAAATTCAATTTAACTTAAAATCAAACACCTAATAAAGAAATTCTTCATTAAATTATGCCAATGTGATTAAATCTAATCAATTTAAATTAATATTATATATTGCATTTACTGAAATATATATTAAAAAATTATGATTTTTTTCTCTTAAAGTTAGATTTTTTAAATAAAAGGTTATGTAATATTTGTTATATACTGTCTCTTTTTCATAAATAATGATAGCAGTAATTAAAGAAAATTTATCACTATAAAATTTATCACTATAAAATTTATCACTATGTAATATAAAAACTTGTGTGAAATACATAATGTGTTAAATCATGATAGAGTTGAAAACTGATTAATTAAAAACGATACATTTCATTTGTTCATATTTTTACTGGAATAACATTTCATCATTTATGGAATACAAAAAAAAAACGTTATTATACATATAATATATTACACGACGTATTGCGAAATTCATATTAATTGAATTTTTCTTTTGCAATTTATCTTTTAATCTACATATATAATAAGAAAATATATTAATTTTAAACATTTAATATAAAAAGAGTTTATTTAGCCAATAAATTAAGTGACAATGAATCGTTACAATATTTAGCCAATAAATTAAGAGGCAATGAATTGTTTGTGTATAAGAAAGAAAATAAAAGTATAAAATACAATTTCTTGATTGCTCCAAAGTTTTTCATAAATAATTACTTTCAAAATAAAATATATATGTTGAGGATTAATTTAATCAAATATTGTGTTTATTGACTAATAAAACGTTTATTAAACTTGACTATTATGATTTTAAATGTCATTTTATTGACATGTTTATTATAACGTTGAACGTTGTTATTTCTCGGTAGATTCCCAGAACAAGAGCAAGTTGATATAGGTAGGAAGAAATTTGAAAAAAAAGTGGTATGGCATTCGTAAAAGTGTTAAGTTGCAGTCTAATATTCATTATCGCGGCGGCTCTTTTTATTGATGAACGTATGTCCATACCAAAACTCGACATATTATATCCACAACATTATAACATCAACTTTGTACTAAATGTCAATTACGATGTCTTCCATGGCGAATATAATGTCAGCATTTATATTCCTTATGAAACGCAAAATATATACGTTTACACAGAAAATCTAACTATAACTCGAGTTAGGGTAACAAACGATGTACAAATATCTAAAGAAAATAAAGGAGTAGCTTTTGCCCATAGCACTGATGATTTTATCTATGACAATGAAATATGTATAACTACCATTTCTTTCCCGTATAATTTATCGTTAGGATTTTACACTCTGAATATAAAATTTATGGGACTTTTAGCTAAAAATGGAGGATTCCGAACTTACATGAATCAACAAAATGATAGAATGTGAGTAATGTTTAAAATGTTAAATATTTAGGTCTAATTACATTAATTTCTTGTTTCAATTCTTTACAAAGTATTCGTATTATTATCAAGGCATGGTCTTAATATATGTATATGTGTATGTGTATGATTTAATAAATTATTACTTAAACATAGTTTCCTTTCTCTTACAGTTCGTAGAAAGTTGTCTGATAAATAATAAATTCTGTGAAAGCATTTTTACATTGTACAATTATAATATAAAACATGTTACTACTATTCTTTAAACAGTGTTAAGATGTATTTTTTTTTCTTGTTTTCTTTCCCCTTTTTTTATTTTTTCTATTTTTCCTTATAATTTCTAAGACTTCAGCAATAACTGAAAATTTTTTGTATTACTTAAAATATACTGTTATATATGCTAGGTGGTTGGCCGCAACGCATTATTACAAATTTGCGATTCGAAGATTATTTCCACTTTTAAAGGACACTATATGTGCTAGTTATAGCATTTCTATAAAGCATCATGAAAACTTCATGGCTTTATCAAATATGCCTAAGATATGGGAGGATGTAGAAGTGGATGGAAATAATATGCAATGGACACGCTTCCAAACTACTCCCGTAATGCCCGTTTATTTCATAGCGGCGGGTGTGTTTAATCTCTCCTTTATTACAAATTGGAATACCAAATTGTTGTACAGAAAAGACATACTGCCATATATGACATTTGCATACAATGTTGCTAAAAATATTGCGTGGTTTCTGTCGCATATCAGGAAAACTAAAATAACTAATCATATCGCGATTCCGGAGTTGCTCGATGCAGAAGAGATAATATTGGGATTCGTTCTTTATAGGTAAATATTTTTTGATATAAGTAAATATATTTAGAGACAAATGTCAATATACATAAAAAAATAATACTTTTTCCGGTTACTCAATATTATAGAATTCAAATTTTTGTATCTTTTTATATTATTTTATAGTCCCAATAAATAATATTAATAATAATAATAATGTATTACAAGTTAATGCATTACAATGTAGAGTAATTTGCGTATATGTGTACGTGTGTTTTTTTGTATTGAACATAATAATGTGTTATGTTGTATTGAACATAATATATAATATATTATTTCTTGTTCAATGCAATTATACATTTCTTTTTTATCTATTTAAGGATGTTTTGTACCTATTTTCAAAATATTGAGAGTTTAATGAAAATTGTACAGAATGTCTTTACATATGTTTAGAATCTTCAGTACAATTTTTAAATTGATTAAGTAAAATGTTCACAAGTTATAAGAATTTTAATTTGCACCGAATTAACATGTATTCTTATGGGAAACGTATAAACATGTCGATTCAAATGACAAAATCATATGAAAATAATATTCAGAATTTGTTTAAAATTTGCAAAAGTTTAGATAGAGAGGAAATAATTGGTCAAATAATATTATATAAGTACTAACTAGTTAAAAAGATATTAAATATAATTCAATGAAGTTAGCCATGTATCTGTCGCAAGGAGAAATTTTCTGCCAAAAGTTAATCATTTCGATTAACAAAATTCGGAATATTTCAGTAAAAACGCAATAAATATTAAAAAATACATCTCTACACTGTAGCTAAGATCAAATTGCAATATTCCACACAATTTTTTACTCAAAATACATCAAAAGTGGATATATTCATCAATATTGATTTTCAGCTACTTTTTGCTGGAATTGTACATACAAAACATCCTTAATTTAGTAATACAATTTATCTATAATATAACTAATTTTCATATACAATATATAACATATTTATAACAAGCATTCTCGTCTTTATTGGAATATTTGCGAATTATTTTTAGAGAAGAAGATATTATCTTTAATAAAGAAATAGATGCTGAGATACGCAAAATTGAAATAGCGCGAGTAATAGGATATAAGGTGGCACACGAATGGCTTTATGATGCAATCGATCCATATAAATGGGAACCATGGTTAAGCAAAGGCTTCGCTACATATTTTGGAATTTACGCCGTCGATCAGGTTATTTTATATTTGGCATTAATTATTTCAACCACACACACATAATCAAAATAATGTAGAAATATTCAGACTTCTATATACCGAATTTAAAATATTTTTAAACTTTTGTAAATGTTTATTATCATTCAATATATACTAACGTAAGTTATGTCGGAATTTTATTTCTAAAATTTCTGATCTATACGATAACACAGGACTGCGGAATTTTAGATTTGGTTAATTACAAAAAGCAGAGTAGGTAAATCTGATAGATTTTTTGACGCTGATAACGCGAATCTGACCGCAGAATTTCTCCAGAACGTCAGGTTTTTGAGTAATTTATAGTTAAATACTGTAAAATGCAATTTTGGCAAATTTCATGAACTTATTATGGAAAAACCTAATTTTTATGAAATATTTCTACTAATGACATCGTATAATATTATTTTTCACCATTCAAATCCATTTTCGATTACTTTCGCACAATTTTTTTTCGCTGAGATATACAAATATGAAGTTATAAGAAAATTTTTTAACTAACCAAACCTAAAATTTCGCAGGTCCGTGCAATTAGCTACAATTTATCACAAAAGCAATATTAAATTTAAATATCATAATTTATATATATTGACATATATACTTTTAAATAATTTAAAAAATACATAATTTGATTGAATGTCAAAAATATAATTAAATATCATTAGATATTTTAAAATACAATAACAAATGTGTATAAATTTTTTTAAATATATTGTAACAGTTTAAATGTATGTTGTTAATGCGTGTGAGCATTTGTTTTGATTAAATATGTAGATTATTTATTTAGATTAAAATTTTTACACGTCCAGAAATTCCCAGATTTTCGGATACAAGATTTCTTTGTGGTTCAAATGCAACATGATTTTCTTCATTGGAGTACAAAGAACACATGGCCCCTCACAATCAAATCAGAATTTAATAGTTCTTTTGAAGTACCTCGTTACATCAAAGGTATCAACATCAAGCAAATAATTAATTATTTATACATTCTTTAATGCTGCATATAAAATTATAATAAAAAAAATAACTTAATTGTTTTACATGTAAGTCAGTTATTTTATATAATTTATTTATATTATTGTTTACATAAATATTAATATTTACCAAAAAAGTAAAATAAACTTTTGTTTATCATTTTGTTTATTACAAAGAAATTATGCCTATAAATTTATATATATCCAAGTGATGTATAGCAAATTTATTTTATTTATACTTTACTTTTACTTTATAATGTCAATTTCCGTAGCAAGCCTTATGTTCTACACATTGCAAACTTTCTCAGAAGAAGTTTTCCAGAATAGTATCAGAACATATTTGGATAATTAGTGAGTAATACAAATTAGAACATAATTATATCATAAATTTAAGTTTATATTTTTAAATGTATAATTTTTTAATTTTTTTTTTTTATAATCATATTTTGCTTTGCTTGTTTGTTAATTTTTGAAATTTATTTTGGTATACTTCTCGACCTTCTTTCCTATTCCTTTTATCATTTTTGTGTTTCTAAATTTATTGATATTTAATTTTTATTAGTAAATTCAAAACTTGTTAATTTTACTTTTGTTAATTTTTACCTCTTATCTTATTATGTTTGTACTTATTATTATTTTAATTTTCTTTTCTATTTATCTATTATTTTAATTTTCGTCTTCTTTTAATTTTCCTTAACTTCTTCTTTTATCTATATTTCCATTTTAATTCTTGTTTTTTACATTTTTTACATTTTTATATGTTCTCTATTTATGCCTTTTAATTCTTTTTATTTAAATATTATTTTATTTCTTTCTGTGACACATTTGTCTTTTTAAATTACTATTCTATTTATTTTTTTCTGTCATTTTTCTGTCAATTTATTAATATTCCAATTCTATCTGATATAATTTACACTATTATCACTACTGCTCTTCCTTTTCACTTCGGTCTTTAAACATCTTAATTGCGTTACAATATTTTTCTTAAGATATTTTCTTTTATTAATTTTTCTTATCATTTGCTTCTATTTTTAGTTATAAAAGCAGTAGTGATTTCTGGAACGAAATGCAAGCTGTCATGTCAGAATTAGCTTTCAAAATAAAATACAAATTAGAAGACAAAATAACAAATTGGATACAGTTAAATTATTACCCTGTGATAAATGTGCAAAGAAATTATGATAAAAACAGTTTGAATATATCTGTAGAAGATTTTAATGTAGATATATGGATATTGAATGAATATATAGATATGAATATTGTTACGGAGACTCATTTAAAAAATATTTCGATTGAAGTGTGGCTAATACCACATATTTCACATATTATTACAGATCTCAAGAACGAGAATGACTTTGTATTGGTCAATTCACAAAGTGGTAAATATTTATGATAAATTTATTATACTTTTAGATACGTAACTCTTTTTTTAGATATGCTGTTCTTTGCAAATTCATACCTTTTCTTAAAAATAATTACGTGTTTTTTTTATATTACATTGATCGTCTCATTATTCTATGCGTAGAAGTATTTAGTTAATCAAAAAATAAATATTTTAAGAGATACTTTATAGTTTTTGTTTAAAATTTTGTTAACTTAAAGTATAAAATATTTCGTAAACTATTCAATTTTTGACTATTTTACTCTTACAATTTTTTACGGGAAATATTGTAAGGAATTGATTTTATACACAAATTATATATAAAATAGTTCCATAATTTGATAAAAATTAGATTGATTTTGATTTTCACATCCTTAATATAAGATTTTAATATTTCATATCTTCATTCCTCCTCCAAAACTCTACAAACTTTTCAAACTTCTTTTTCCAAAACACCTGTTTTCGGAGTTATTATTGAATAAAAGTTAAAGTGGTACATCCTATATATATAATTAAATCTACAATTGTAGAAAGATTTGCTACTTTTATAATTTAAATAATATAGATTGAATTATATATAATTCAATCTATGTTATTTAAATTATAGAAGTGTAGCAAATCTTTTCACATATTATACAGTTAGAGAATTTTTTTTAGGTATTCAACTGTGCTTAAAATTATTTAATGTTTAAAAATTTAATTATTGGATAGTTTAATTATTATATTTAATTAAATATGATAATCTGCAATTTGCTACATATACATATGTATAAATTAGCTATTTTTATATCTTTACTTCTCTTTGATAAATTATGTCTACATACTGTGCTGTTATTATAATAAAATTTTATGCACGATCTAAAGATTGTATATACATTAAAACATTACACACAATGAAATATATTGTATAATTTGATTATCAATTTTGATTATCATCAATGTAGTCAATGTAGTCAAAAAAATGAATTTAAATTGACATAACGTTTTCAGTACATTGATTTATCAGCATGATATAATTTAATATTCAATCCAATTTGTTTCTTATAATAATTGCAAATTTTTAATACATAATTTCTAATACATTTTTTATAAGAATATAAGAAGATATTTCAAATTATTACTTGACAAATACAAATTTTAAAAAAATTTAATTTATATCATTGATAAAATTTATCATACAATAGGATGTTATCGCGTCAATTATGATGCCAGGAATTGGAATAGACTTTCGCACTACTTGAATTCCGAATTCTTTGGAAAAATACATGTTCTCGATCGTGCTAAAATCATCGACGACGCATTTCATTTTCTGATGACAGGCCGACTAAATTCTACTGTATTCTTAAATATTTCATACTACCTCCGGCAAGATACAGATTATATCGCATGGTATCCTATGTTCAAAAACTTAGAATATATCTCAGGTTTCTTTGCATATCCAGAAGGTTTATATAGCCCTATAAAGGTATAAATAATATCAGTTTTTGTAAGTAAAACGTGAGTTTTATGTTAAATAATTTATATTAACAATGTACAACACATTTATATCTTAAAATTAATTTCGATAAAATATAGATGAATATACATACTATTTAATTCTCTACGATTTACGAAATAACTTCCGCTTCTAAATTTTTATGAAACGTTAATATGAAATTGTATTATTTAGTATTTAATTTACAGATTGTATTATATATAATTACGCATTTATTACTATGTTTTGCCTTATAAAAAGAAGAAATCTAAAAAGATTGTTATGTTATTTACATAATATTTTATATTTTAAATTACAGCATATGCATGTCCACAAACTTTCATCAATTTTACTATAATATATATATATATATATATATATATATATATATATATATAAATATATAAATTTTAATATATATTAATTTTAAAATGTATAAACTGTTATATATATTTTAAAAATTTAGAGAGAAATAACGCGACCGTTGGGTGAGATTTTGTCGGAAATAAAATATCCCGATTTTAAATCAAATAGAACGGATTTCATTCAGGAGAACGTTTTCACTAAATGTTTGAGGCAAGAGGCTGCAAAATGGTTATGCATTTTGAGTGTTGAATTTTTAAATGATGATTGCTTTTCAGAAGCCAAACATAAATTAAATTTGTATCTTTTAAGTGGTAACAAATCTTCATCACACAAGTAATTACGATTTGCTAGTTAACTTTCAATTACGATCATTTTCTAAAAACATTTTCTCTTGTAGCGTTGTGAAACATTTGATAATTTATGTGATCAAGGTATAAGATTATAAATTCTAATAATTTATTTTTATTTTATTTTGAATATCAGAATTTGGATGGGATGGAAAGAATGGACATTCTGCAATGGTTTGAAGACAGCGGGAAACGATACTTGGATGCAAGTGTATGATATATATTTGAAAGAATCAGATAAAAGTATTTTAAAATTTTTAACTTGTTCCAAAGATCCTTCAATCATTCTCCAATATATAAATATAATGACTAATATGACAATAACTATGGATTATATAAACAGTTTTTTTGTTATTGTTACGAGGCATGCAAGGACTGGATTATTAAACTGGATTATCAACAATTTCTTCAAAATAAAACCGAAGTAATGACTACTATTTTATAAATATGTAATACTTATGCAATTATAAAAACTTGTTCCATTTTCTAATTATATAAATCTATTATTTTGTTTTTATAGAGAAATCAGCTATATGATAGCATTAACTATATTCATTAATCACGTATATTCTAAAGAACAAATAAATGAGGTAAATTTTATAAATTTATATGTAGACTCGTATATACATATGTATATGCACATGTATATAAAACTGTTTATTAATATCTTGTTTTGAATTTCAATTATCATTATATATATTGTATCTAAATATATTTTAGATTTATCTGTTATATCTAAATAAATATATCTTATAGATTTATCTGTTGTATGTTATATATGTATATTTTTACATTATAAGGCAAAATTAACATTTACATTGTTGATCTAAAAAATAATTTATTTTAGATAAAGAAATATATGGCTATTTTCAAGAACCGTATGAATCCAGACTATATGATTAATTATGAATATCAAGAAAACGGTAACATGGTAAATTTTAGAAATTTATATACATATTTATATTACATTACATATTTATATACACATTTATATACATATTTAATTGCAAATTTCTTATTATTAAGTTTATTTTATGTATTTATTTTTATATCAATAACTATTTTATGCTAATTACGTTAATAACCAAAAATTATGATTGATTTTCATAGCGTAAAAATAAATTATTGTTGAAATAAATATTAAAATAATACGTTTCAGGTAAGGAAATCCTTGCCACTTACAATGAATATGATAAGAGTGTATGTAAATCGCAAGTTAGAACTACGTTGGCATCAATTAAAGACTCAACTGTACGAATATCGATATCTTATAAAAGACTTTGATGGTGTATTTAAAGAATTCTTGGCTGATTAGTGAATGAAACCAGGAAATAATAACGAAATGTAATGCATGCACATATTTACTTTTAATATAGATAGTTTTTGTATTTTCATTTATTCATTTTGTTTAAAAATATACATTCACAAACGAGAAATACATATACGATAACGATAACAAAGCGGTTAAGTTATAATAGAATAAAAAGTTGATGAGTTTCATTTAAATTTAAATAGTAATAGTAAACATTATCACGTTTTCTGTCTTTTGCAAAAGTTTTATGCAATTTTTTTACAATATTTCTATTTTTTAAAATTTGTATGATTATTAAAAAAAATGTTTCTTTTAAGATGAATGTGTTTATATAATGTTTGATATGTGTTTATGTAATGCACATATAAAGTATTTAATAATTATCATACAAATGTTATAAAACATAAGATAGAACTTAATAACTAGATACTAATCATAAATTCAAAGAGTTAATGATTAATGATAATTATTTATATTCAGCAAATTATGAAACACAACGTGCTCAATAGATGCAACTTCATGGTACTCTACATAAGAAAAACATAATATGATATATTGAACGATATGTTGAGTGTTAAATAATCATTACAATAGAAATAACAGAATGATTTCGACTGAATAATGCAAAAGGTAGAGAGTGAACTACACATGCGACAATGTACAAGAAGGAAAATTTGGAACTGGAAAATTATAATCATATTTATAACTATAATAGCGTAGTGGTGATAAAAAATGAATATCTAACAATTTTTTATGATAATTATATAATGGGTCTAAAAAAAGAAGAGAGAAAAAAATGAACAAGTGGATGATATACAAATTAAAATCAAAATGCTAAATAAATAAAAATAAAATATCAGATGTTCTGTACTGAATTAGATTCAACAAATCGATTTGGACTTACCTTAACTTCTTTGTCGAATTTAGAGTTTAAAATTTTTGTTTGATGGACTCAAATTTGTCAGATTAAATTCAATACAGATACTGATTATTTTATTTGAAAATTTAGAACAAATTACATGTTTTAATTCTTCTAATTATTACATTGATTTTTTAATATAAAAAGCCATTTATTCTTGTAAGTCGAAGACATCTAAGGCTTCCAAAGTTTTAGATTGATGCCAAACATTTATAATGCTTGCAGCACCCAAGATATCAGTGCATCATCATATATGTATAATATATATACCACAAATATTAAAATCTGTAATTTGATGTCTGTAATAGGAAATGAATTAATAATAAAGTTTATATTAAAATTAACAATAACGTTCTTAAACGTTTAGTTATGTTCTATATTCGAATTGGTATAAAATAATTATTCATTATCTATTAGGTATAAATGTTTGTGTATGTATAAACTGTAATATGAAAAATTTGATAAACACAAGAGAACAGGTTATTTATAATCATCTACATTTTCCTTCTATCCATAGATATGTTATCTTAGTGTTCATGCAATACCTGACCAAAATACGGCATATAATGTTATGAAATTTGTTTCTTTCTCGAAACTTATTTTTTATTCTATTAAGCCCTATTTATTTTATTATAAAGTAAAGATTTATTAGTTTTAAACAATCAATATTTTAAAAGTATTTACGATCATTAAATTATGATACAAGCGATGAAGAATTATAAAAAAATTGTGCACAAATTGTAATATTGTTACTGTCAAAATTAATAATACCAATGTAATCATTTTACAATTATATTTAATAGATATATTATAAAAGTTGTGTATATTATATTTTATCTACGATAAAAATATATTTTATTTTATCTACGATAAAAATATGTATTGTTAATAATATGTATAAAAAGTATTCAGACTTAAAAAATAGAGAGAATAAACTTTTCAAAAATATTATGCGATTTTGTCCTTGAAAAAGTATGTATATAAAATGATTCAATAGAATAATAAATTTCCAAACTATATTTTTATATTTTTTTTTGCTTTATTCATTTATTTTTATAGCAATGTACAAAGCGAAATGCTCAAAGTGCATCAATATGAGAAAAAAAGTTATAACTTTTAACCAAACGATTAAATCGAAACGAAACCTGTTCGAGATGAAAATTGAGACTGTAATCAATGATAAAGCTAACTAAACTCTAATAACTTTACTTAAATACTTTAGCAGGATAGGTAAAAATTAAAATCAATCGATCAATTACGATTGTACATGTGATTGAAATTCGACAAATTCGGTTTTGCTAAAGCTATTATATTTTGTTTTAAACGTGATCAAATGGTACGGCTTATTTATTATTATGAGGATTTTGTACAGGATGTTTCGTCAATATACAGCTCAATACGACGGGTTGTCTGATTATAGGAGTGCAAGACCGATAATGCAGGAATAGGTAATACAGAACATTCGCGTACATTTTCAACGAAATATACTAGCTTTCACGCTATCAACGCGTAATAAGCTGTTAGAAGAAAAAATTAAATTACACAGAATAGTGAACTTGTGACATGAATATTTGAAATTATATATCTAAAAGAATGTTATAATATTATAATATTATTATTATTATATAACTTTTAACATTATATATCAATAATCCTCATCTACATATGATTGCAATAATATTATAATATTATAATATTAATATTATAATATTATAATATTATAATATTATTCCAATCATATATATATGAGGATTATTGATATAATGTTAAGAGTTATATTAAGTTTAAGTATTTTTTATTTTTTTTTTGCGCTCCTATGAGCAGCATTTCGTCATTGATCTGTATGTTGATGAAACACCCTGTACATTATTGTATTGAAATATTTAATATGGGTATTAACTATCACATCTCGCAGATAAAGTTCAATTGAATAAGCGATACGCAAGCAAAGAGTATATTTCGAGTGTAATTCGTATGCATTAGGAGTATAAAAACATATCTACTACGGCAAATTATTATAGTTTAATTAAATTATTAACATTTATCGAGTTTTTCTTTATTAGCTTTGTCTTGTATAATAACTTTGTATTTCTTTTTCTTTGAATTTTTTCCTTTTTAATTGTTATTCTTGTCATAACACATAAATTACTAATTATTATTCATTTGTTATACCAAACTCTCCTTAGTTCTAATAAGTAAATAAAAAATGATTATCTTTGTGTATGCCTCTATTCGACAGATTTTTAAATACATTTTTCTTTATAAATGACAGAGAGTTTTAATCAAATAAGAAAAGTTATTGAATCATTTCGGTTTATTATGAGATGGAGAATTTTCTTCTCTATTTCGATTTATGGCTTATTCTGTCGATTCGAAATAACATATATGTCATAATGAAATTTATTATTATTTTACTCTTTGGGTGTGTGTGTTCTCAAAAAACGAGACGTTCCGCTCAAGCAATAAAAGCTTTAAATTTTTTTCCACGGTATTTTTATTTTACTTTATGTATCAGTCGTGTTTGAAATTACTTGGCTAATAGCTCGGAATCAGATGATAGATACTTTGATTGGTACTGTTTATGGATCTTTGAGCTATCAGGGATGCAAGAATGCCTCCGCAAGCAACATGCCACGCGTAGTGGAGAGGGTAACGGAGATGTAGCGTAAGCGTACGTGTGAGCTCGGCGCTTCGGCGAGCTTCGGATAGAAGCAGGGATGCCAAACTAGCCAGAGGCACTCTCAGATCATTACATGCGATTAAATTTCGTCGGGAATACGTACGCGAAGCTTTGACTCGAGCAGAACACTCGCTAAGTTCTCTTACAAGCTGTGAAATTTCGGGTATACTCGAGCAGATTTTGCAAATTCGGAATTGAAATTTCGAATAAATTAATTTAAATTGTTAAGACTTGTTAAATTGTTAAAACATTGACTTCTATTGTTCCTGTTTTCGCATCGACGATCAAATAAATAATGTGGCTGTGATATCTCGAAGACGTGTCAATATTAAATTATTCTTCTGGATTACAAAGACACAGTTTACACGCACGCAAGTATATCTCGAGTGTGATATATGTGAACTTATAAAAGCGATGTAAGATTGAGATCTATATATAATATATTTTAATTATTGTGAAAGATAAAAAGGTCTGTATAATATTGTTCGTAATAAAAATAATTCGTAATCGAGATCGCAAAACGACTTCATATCGTGTAAAATGACACTTGCGATCATGGTTTACTGGCGTAACCATCTGAAAGTTGTTCTTATGGAACTTCTTATGGAATATACTACAAAAGATTCGACAGAGAAAATACAACCTGAAGTGACTAATCATCTTGCTGATATCAATCAACACTTTCATGAATATTTGGTACGCGATATTTCTTTGCAATCAGCTTACGTCTCGCTGACAAAATTATTCGGTAATTTCATGAAATGGACTTTAGCAGAATATTTGAACCTCCAAGATTTTGAATATACTTCAGAACAACGTAATCAAATTTTTCGAAAATCTCATATAATTAAAAATCTCATAAAATTTATAGGAGAAAGGGAATTTCAAAATAAATATTTTGAAATTCCCTATAAATTTTGAAAATTTAAAAATTTGTCTTATAGCAAAACTTACTTAAAATTAAATTAAAAAAAAAAAATATATATATATATATATATATATATATATATAAAACAAAATTGTATTCCAAAAATACATTTTTCAAACATAATAACTTAAATTAATTTAATTAAGATAAAACCAAGTATATCAATCAAAGATGAATTTAAATTTTTATAGTAATACATAATTTATGATAGAAGAAAATTAATGTACTATTTGTCAATTATTATCATAATGTTATTTATATTCATATTATCATAAAAAATGAGATAATTTCATTAATCATTAATAAACAGATTTTAAACAATTTTATAAATTTTGAAAAAAATGTTACTAGTAATTGTCCAATAATTTTATTAAAAATTATGAAAATAGAAACTTCTACAAGATTACAGTATTTATAAAAACGTTTCTTAATTTTCTTGTTCAAAGTATATAAATAAATAATCTAATTACGTGACTAATTAATTAATTTATATTGTATTTGAAATAAACAAAAGAAATATATATTAATCTCTTTTAAGAGAGAGAAGGAAAGACAGAGAGGGAGATAATATTATAGTCTTGAGAGAAAATTTCCTAATTATTCTTTATAAATACAAATGCCAACCACAAATAAAGTGCACTATGCAATGTATATCAAATAATATTTTTACAGATCTATTTTATATAACGTAAAGTATCCAAAATAATTAATTTTGGAAAACTAATTCCGTGCTACCGATATTTTATCTGTTCTTTAAACAGATGTTTAATATTATAAACTGTATAATTGAAAAAATTGCTTCTTGGATTTAAACTTATTAAATTTTTTGAACTTGCAAAATATAAATAACTTCCAAAAAAAATCTTACAAAGGTAAAAAAAATACGCCAAGTACATAAAAAATATTCCACCTTGTATGCAACATAACGTTTAATAAAAAAATACCCTTATAATAAATAATTTATAAAAATTTTCCCTCAAAAAATATATATTACAATAATTTTTCTAAATATATAATATTCCTAAAAAAAATTAAAACTAAATATGAAATCAATGATTAATTAGCCAAGTACATTGAAGCAATTGATAGGGATTTGTAATTTGAAATATTTGTCACAAATTCAATCTTGAATTTATATATTAGATTCTTGACAAAATAAAAATGATTTTCAAAATAAGTTCCAAGTAAATTTGGAACTAAAAAAATTAACACCAAAACAACTTACAAAAACTTGGCGTGCTCGGGTCATATTATAATACATATAATTTTACAAAGTTTGCGAATTATACCTGTAATTAATTTCAATTATAGAAATATGTAAATTATAATATGACCCGAGCACGTCAAGTTTTTGTAAGTTGTTTTGGTGATAATTTTTTTAGTTCCAAATTTACTTGGAACTTATTTTAAAAATCATTTTTATTTTGTCGAGAATCTAATATATAAATGCAAGATTGAATTTGTTACAAATATTTCAAATTACAAATCCCTATCATTTGCTTCAATGTACTTGGCTAATCTAAAATCATTTGTCAATGAGCCATTGCCATTTACTATTAACCCTTCTAGATTTTCTCAAAAAATAAAAATGAAGAGAGCGAGTAGCACCTATATAAAAAACATTCCACAAATGTAAAGGAAAATATTTGTAAATATTCCATGATAATTCATATAGCTTATTTTTTAAAAACTGTAATTGTCTGTACGCGTTGTTTATCTCTAATCTCAACAAACGAAGTCCATAATCAAGTTTGGCTTTTTGCATAGCTCTTCTAGATTTGCAATGGAAAAAGTTGGGATCATTCCCAAAGTTAATATGTCGGGGAAATACTTCATTTTTAACACAATTCTTCAAGAATTTGATCTGTAAATTAATTCTAATAATGGCTCTATTGTATTTATCCCAACTTTTTAACCATTTTACACTTTTGTAACCGAGTAAATATTTAATAGAATGAAAAAATGATGGAGTGCCGTTTAAATTATTGTTAAAACGCATTTATTGCCTGCGTAATTTAATAAAAGTGAAAGAGGCTCCTATCTAAATAAATTAAACAGTAATCGAGCTTGAGGAGCTAATATTATGCAATAATGTTAAAGTCAATAAATAAGAATAGATTTAATAACGTTACAATACGTTTAAATTAAGTAACTATTTATGACTGTGCGCATTATGTGATGAAATGTATAAGTAATTATTAATGAATATACGCATTATATGATGAGATGTAAACGTACGTTTCTGTCCTCAACTGGATTCTCTTCAGTACAATTAAATAAATTTTAGGAAAATAACACTTAAAAATTACAAGGATTACGCTTATCGCATGAATGGTATCCGAGTGGACCGTATATTCGGCTGTGTAATTAACTGTGCAATTTCTTAACAGTACTAGATGTCGACCACGTGGTAGATGTTTCCAGAACGTCTCTCCTCCTCTCATTATTTATTATATTTTACTCATTGTATACATATATATGTCTACAAGGATGTATATTGCAGATATGTGTACAAGATTGTTTATGCTTATTTCGACACAATATTTTACCTTCCACTTTTTTCAATAAATCACAGGTTTTATGTGTGCACACCCCTAACATGGAAGAGGGCGAAACTCTGGGACAAGTATAAGTTTTGCTAAAACCGCTACAAATGGAACTGACGAAATCTGTGACGAGTGTTCCAAGAAAAGATACAAGATTGTTAATGCAGTGTAGAGTGAGAAGACAAGCGGCTATAAAAAAAATTAGGGAAATACAAAAAATTGTACACGGCTGGAATCAAAAAGATATTGGGCAGTGCTGTTACGGTGAATTTATTAGAGGTAATAAAAAATAAACCATTCTTAATTACATGTGTCTATAATAATCAAACATTATCTTCAGACTTGTTAACGTTTATATATCGATAATTTTTATTTACAGAGGATACATTGAAGAAAGTGACTAATAATAGATAAGGATTAACCGACAGAAAAGTCTTCTTATTCGATGAGTTACTAATATTGTGTAAACCAAATACAAAAGATAATGTTGCAACAGATATTGTTGCACATGATAAACATCCTACTCATTAACATGAATTTCAATTAGAAGAGAAACTTTTTATTAGAAAAGTTGATATTATTGATAGAAAAGATACGGAAGATAAAAAATGTTTGTTTAAATTTTATTGCCATATCGTATTAAATTTTCGTGCACCGCAAATGCATAATATATATTTACAGAGTTGAAAAATTCTTTTGAGATTGCATCGAGAGAACATCCTAATGTTATTCTTATTGCTAAATCTGTTGAGAATAAAAACAATTGGATGGCGGATTTAATAATGTTAAAATCAAGAAGTATGTTAGAAAGTACTTTGGATAGTATTCTGTTGGAAGAAGAAAAGAAATATCCATTAGGGCTACCTCCTCCGCACTTGTATAAATTTGCTGAACAAGATGATATGGAGAATATTGTCCCAGAGAAAATGACGTTCCATTGATTAAGGGTGCAACTTTGATAAAATTAGTAGAAAGATTGACGCATTATACATACGCTGATCCAACTTCTGTAAAAACATTCCTTCTTACTTAAAGGTAAATAACAACATTGCAGATATATAACAAATAAATATATAATAACAAATTTCTAATTTTTAATAATTTATTTTATAGAAGTTTTTGTTCACTTCAAGAATTATTAACATTACTGAGAGAAAGGTTTGACGTACCGTTTCCTTCGTTGTTTTATGATAAAAAAGAAACATCTGCATGTAAAATGACATAGAGAGAAAATTGGAAAAGATACAAAATAGAGATATCGGATATTCTGTTATCCGATGCCCTTTAGAGTTTTAAATGTTTTAAGACATTGAATTAGTAATACATATATATTTTTCTCATTTTCCATGAATTTCACGCAATGTTTAAAACACTGTTTTCTAAAGTATTTATTGTTTTTCATTAGATGGATTATTATTTTTACGATTTCGAACGTGATGGAAAACTTTTAGAAACATTACAATCATTTTTACAAACGATTAATGGCACATCGGTACAGAAATGGTTTAATTTATTATTAAAAATTGTAGAAAGAAAGCGCAAATCATCAAAAGCTATCACATTACATTTTAAGAATCGTCCTCCACCGATTGAATCGCATCTTAAAATTCCAGAAAATAACGAAGATTATGAAATACTTACGATATATGATATTTTTTAACGTTGTGATTTCTTTAAGAAAAATTATCAGTCACGAAATCATTCATACTGAGAAATAAGTTGTCGATTATAGATACATCCTGTTGAATTAGCGAGACAATTAACATTATTGGAGTTTCAGTTGTACAGTGCAGTAAAGTCTTTTGAGTTAGTCGGATGTGTATGGACAAAGGATGACAAAAACGAAAGGTCACCGAATTTATTGAAAATGATAAGACACACGACAAATGTAAGCTTTTGTGTTTCAAATCATTACGAAAGTATATCAAATATTCCAATAATTTTGATTTTTATACTGCATTTTGATAGTTTAGAAGATGGCTGGAGAAAATAATAGTGGAGGCTCAAAATTTTAAAGAGAGAGTAGCCATTGTATCACGTGCAATTGAAATAATAGTGGTGCTACAGGATCTCAACAATTTTAATGGCGTCTTGATTGTCAGCGCTTTGGAATCGGTTTCCGTTTTTAGGCTAAAATATACGTTTCAAGTACCTATAATAAGCAAAAAAGAAACGCAGATTTGACAAAATTCGCAAAATTAAAAAAAGCTCTAAGATAAAATTACCAGTGATTGAACGATTAAGAATACAAATGCACTTATTGATACTTTTATTACATAAAAACAAAAATTTTTCTCAAGAATTTCCATTTATCTTATAAATTGATGCTTCTATTATTTAAATAGCACATAAACAATTATTTTTATTAACTTTATTATATAAAAGTACAAAAAAATGTTGAGCTATGTAAATGTCCCAGTATTTGAACAGTAAAAACGCATCTGTCCTTATGATTGAATGAAATTGTCCCAGTGTTTAAACATTATAAGCTTATGACTATAGAAATGATTTTATATTTAGTTGCTTTTTATGAGCAACATTTTATGAACATGTCTAAATAAATGTTTATTTTTATTTAATTAAAATTAAATAAAACTAATTAAAACTACTTATTTAATTAAAATTAAATAGAACACTTATGTACGTACAAAATTTTAATTTTTATATATAAACAGAATAAGTTTATATATTTTCTATTTAGCATAAAAGAACACAAATATTAATATATTTTTTTAAATAATTAGCGATATTAGAATAATATAATAAGCATATAAAAATGTTATAATAAATGTTATAATTAATGACGTTATTCGTGTACCAACATGATTTCTCACATCTCTCATTTATTATTACGACATAAATGTATATTAGTTATTAAGTTTATTACTAAATTAATTATAGATTATTTAAAATATAAAAATACTTACTAAAAAATAATAATTAACGAAAAAACTTTCTTATTCGTGTTGTGCGTGTTATCTCTCTATGTGCGTCTCACTACTAGTACAAGCATTTTTAGTGTAGCTGTACCGATAAATAAACGAGTGATCAATAATTAGGGCAATCCTAAATTTTAGTGTACCAGTAAATAAACATTAAATTTATTATATTTAAATAAATTTACTTAATAAAATAAAAATTTTACTTTAATAATATGTTCTTTTAAGAATCTAAATAACTTTTACTTTTTACAAAAACATAATTTAGAGGAAATACATTCTAAAGTAGTAAACGGCGTGTCTTAACCAAATTATTAAGAAACCATTGAGAAAATAGACAACTACTACTTAGAAAAATAATTTTTTTCTGCTTACAAATCATTTTACGTTTTAATCTTTTTATTTCTTCTTTAAATAAATATTTAAAAATGCGAATTAAATATTTATAATTTGATAACTATACACTAGAAAGCTTAATAATAATAGATATTTACTGCATTGTTTAAACACTGTGACGTGTTAAACTACTGGTACTTTTACCTTAAGTGCCAAATATGTATGATTTATTTATATATACATATGTTCACGCTTATACATATATCTTTCAAGATCTTTTTGTGTCATTTTCCTCCTAACATGTGTTTATTTTCATAGCAATTATCAATAGAATTACAAGAGGCATTAACAAAAGCGCGACAGCTTAGTAATAATTACGTTCAAAAATATAAAGAAGTGTTACAATTGAACGATCCACCTTGTGTACCATTCTTAACTAAGTATCGCAAAGTGACAATGATTATTTTATGATTATGAAAAGATTTAAATCTTTTTTTCATGCATTCTCAGGTATATATTTGACTAATATTCAGCATTTTGAAGAAGGAAATCGAGATTATTTACCGGAAAATCCGAATCTTATCAATTTTAATAAATGGCGAAAAGTGGCAGAAATAATTGGTGAAATACAGCTGTACCAAAATGAACCTTATTGTCTTCCTGTGGAGTCTAAAATAAGACAATATATTGAAAATATGTGTGTCTTTTTGACCTTAATATATCAGAAGCAAATATAGGCAATTATCTGTATAGCAAAAATTTAGAGATAGAGCCCAACAAATGTAAAGCATCTGCACAATTCATAAGCGTTTTATATAATTAATTGCATATAATTAGATTCTTTCCAAACTTTTTCATATATTATATATATTATTACATATATTATATACATATATACATATATTATATATATTATATTATATATATTATTATATATATTTTCATATATATTATTACTATAACAGCCACGTAAATGGCCCAAGATAAAATTGAAATCACCGGGAATTAAAACTAGTATAAGTTTGAGCGAAAAATCGCCAGCTCCATTACAAACGATAGCTTCCAGCGTAAAATTGCATGATCCTCCGACAGAAGCTCCACCGCCTCTTGAATTACCGGAAACATCACCACACGCACCACAAGTTACAGTTCCGCAACATAGGGGAGCACATCATTTTTGCACCTGTCATATTAGGTATACACTAGTATTTAAATTTTGATAAGGTATCTATTTCTTGGAAAAACGTAGAAAATCTAAAATTCTTAGAGATTTTTTTGTAAGATAGAAACATTTGGGAATTCTCGTAAAACTTTATGATAATGTAGGATTTATTAAAAATTAAAAAAAATTCTCTTTTATAATATATAAATATAATATATATAAATATATATAAATATAATATATGATATACATTATAATATAATTTTGTTTTATTATAAACAATTGACAAATCGAGTATGTGTGAATTATGTGTTTAAAATATATTATAAATATATATTTCTTCATATATATATGTTTTATCAAAATATTAAAGAGCATATTTATAGTGTTTAGTGATAAAAAAATGTAAGTCTTATGTCAAATCTTATGTAAAAATTCTCATCTTAAAGTTATTTAGTGTCTTTCAATACATTTACAAATCAATCTAACAGTTAAAACTTTAGGAGCTCTCTATTTTTTTTATATGATTGAAAAACACTAGAAAACGCAAAAAAAAACTTATTTTAGCAAATTGCAGAAATCTAAAATATTTTCTTTATCTATTTTGAATTTTGAACAAAAATATATGAAAAATCAGAAAATTTTCAAAAATGTTTTTTTACAAAATTTGAGTAGATGTACTGGATTTAATAATGATTGCGATTATTAAATCTTTCCTTGCTCATTGTAGAACTTTCTGGAACTGTACCTTCAGGATCACCTAGTCGGGGCTTTCGATCGCTTCGTTTACTCAAGTTCATTTAGCGAATCATCGCAACAAGTAAGATTCTAAAATTAAGTAGAGGCTTAATGAGTTTTCGCATTATGTAGAGGCTTAATCAGTTTTCGCATTATTTAATAGCTAATTCAATATTAAAGTATCTTTATATAATGAGGATTTGAATACAAAATTTAAATTTTATTTTTATAGAAACGAAGAAGAATTTATACTTTTAAATATAATCAAGTTATTATTTTTCATTTAGCATTTGTCAAATATGATTTTGTTAATATTGTTGAATAATATATACATAATAGTGCATTATACAGTATCGGATTTTTTGATAAATATAGATATTATTAATTTTGCATTAAATTTATTAAAGATATTTCTACATGCAAAAATAAGCATATCTGCATCGCGAAATTCATTAAAAATAAATAATCATTATAAATACATTATTGTACATTATTGATGGAGAAAATCTAAGAAATTTAGTTTCAAACAAACATAAGTAGGACAAGCGCCGAACGCACCAGTTCTTCCACCGAGAGATGCTATATCTCCATCCCCATTACCACCACGAAGAGTCATACTACCGTCGCAGCCTAACGGTAAAATAACGCCATTTATCAATTTTTCTTTTTTACGAATTCGTGCATAATTTGATTTTAATTATTATATTTCAGAATTATTAACACCGATGTTATCACCAAAACCGAGTTTACCAGAACGTCCACCATCTACCGTGTCTAATTTCGATACCCCTCCTGGACTTAGTTAAGTATTACTCTATTTCTTTTTCTATCTCTCTTTCTCTTTCACTTTCACTTTTTACATTTTTTTGTCTTGAAAATAAATATTTTTAATTGAGGTTTATAATTTGTTCAGTAAGCTAAATAAAGCTAAAATCTTTCTTGCCGTATAAGTTAAAAAAAGTTCGAACAACACAAATTGATAAGTTGGATATAAGTTGAATATTTATCTTTGAATCTATCTTTTCTATAGAAGTATGTATTATCAGTACTTTTTCCGCTCACGACGATGTTGACGTCCTTTATATCGTTATCGTCCAAAAACAGAAATTGATAAGTTGGATAGAATATTTATCTTTGACTATAGAAGTATGTATTGTATTATGAGTACATTTTATAAGTATGTATTATGAGTACAGTTAGTGAGATTAAATGGGAAGAACTTATTTTTCAATAATTTATTTGTCAACTTTTTTTATTGCATAATTTTATTATATTACATAAAATTTTGTTTTTACTGCCAACTTGAATATTGAATTTAGAATAGAATGATATTGACTACTTATTACGTAGAATAATCACGTTTTAAATTCATAACCAATACATTCTCAACCATATTCAATAAATCATATTATTATTGTAATGAGAATATTCAGATCATATTATTATTGTAATGAGAATATTCAGATAATTCATACTTCTACAGTTAAAGATATGAATTATGAATTTATAGGAACACTCCATAACATAGTAGAACTCCGATAACTATGGGAATATAGAGAATTATTAGAACATATGTACTGTAAGGGCTATGCGAATTTGAACAATATGCAAAAATATTCCATGTAATATATATTACATGATTGTGTAACATATTGGAACAACATTTCAAGTAATGCGGGTGAAGACTCGAATTCGATTCTCAATTCAACCATTCGTATTTTATATTTTTTTCAAGTATACAAATATTGTATCTTCTAGCGATTATTTGTTGATTAAAAACAATGCCATACACAAATAAAACACGTGCCTATACCACGGATAAATGATTGTTACAAGTATGTGCGTTTATGCTGGGTTTATGCCATTCTTTTGTTTATTATTTGGGAAATGATAGCTTTATAACTACAAGACATTTATATTTCTTGCAGTGTGTGAACAATTTATGTAACAGCATGAATCCAACAAACATTACGCGAAAATCTGCAAAGTGCAAAGGGTTAAATGACTCGATATATTTTGATAATTCGATCATTATCATTATCATCTCGTTTATCATTTGTTATAGTTAACAGATCTAGTGTTTACTGCGTATTTCATAATTCTTACTGAATGGACTATGTTTCAATTTCGATTATTTGAATGGCTTTTTTTTAAAATCCTTGTCTTTTTCCCACAATCATAACTGTGATATAGTTTGAATATAAAAACAATATTTTAATGTAATTATAGAAACATTAGATTATAAAGTAATCGACGTAAGAAAGTGATGTGTATCGAAATAAATATACAAATGCTAATTATACATAAATGGAATCAATGGAATCAATACCAAGAAAGGAAGTGTATATATAATATATACACATGTATATTATAAATATTATAAATATATTCTTTATATAATAGCGATTGTAATAATTTCTACGAAAAAATATGGCATTATATAAAATAAAAGGATATATTGTGTAAAACATCTCGTACTAACTTTTACCTTATCCTTAAGTAGTGTAAGTTATAATAATCAACAATGAGAATATTGAAAACGTCAGTATTTATTTTTGAAGCTTAAATTACAGACTACCAAATGCAGGAGTACAGCACATTAGTTTTATTCTCTCATCTAATCTATTATTAATGGATTATATAAATTTATATTTCTCTCTTCTTGATTATTATTACAAAACTTTCCATACATATTATAGAGCTATCATCTTGTATTATAGCTATGTCTAACACATTTAATCACAACGTTCATAGAAATGTTACGACTATTTTATTACATCATACACGCACTGATAATAAATTATTAATATACCGGAGAAAACCAAATCATCAATATAATTACATAGATTAAACGTTAAATAAAACAAAGATAGATATATAGATTAAACGTTAAATTAAAAACAAAAATTAAAAGGTTTATACTGGATTAAAATTCTTCGCAACATTTATTTTTTCGAATTTAGATCAAATGTACAGTTTTGTTACCAGATTAAACTCAAAGCAAATAATATTGTTTTCTCTATTCAAAGCTTACAACTAACAAGTACATATTTTAATTCTTTCGATTAATACCAAAACTTTTTAACGTAACAAATTATTCCCTTAATTCGCAAACTGATCTGACGCTTCTAAAGTTCTATTGTAATGTCGAAAACCGAACATTTTTTCAATAACAAGTTAATTATGATCCATATGATACCAATACTTTAAAAAAAGTTTAAACTGAAATATCTTTAAAAGATTAAGAATTAAAATTATATTAAAATTATAAAAGCTTTGAGTTCATAACGCTTTTAGGATCGGAATAATAGTATAAAATAATTGCATATATGTATAAAAACTTGTGTCCGTGTGTGTGTGTGTGTGTGTGTGTGTGTGTGTGTGAAAAACTTGATAAATTTGAAAAATTTAAATTATAACTGATCTAAAAACGTTACAGCTTTACTTGCACACATTTTTTTACTAGTATAATATTTTACCATTTACGTAATACTTATGCTAAACTATGAAATTATATAATGTCTACTTTATGATATAATTTTGTAAAATTTAATTCTATTTAGTTTTCCTTTTTATCCATTTTTATTGTATTTATAAAATATTTTGCACATTAAAGACTATAAATCTACAATTAGAGCCAATAAATTGAGATACAAACGGCGCTGGATTATTTGCTTATGAGGAAAAAATAAAAGTATGGAGAGAATACAACTTTTTAATTCCTATAAAATGCATTTTAAAAATAATTAATTAAATATATCAGACAGAAATTGATTTAATCATATATTAGTATTTTATTGTGTTTATTAACTGATAAGACACGTATTAGTCTGATTTTATATTATTTCGATTTTCAAAGTTGTTTCCATAACATGTTTATTATATGATATCGCTTGTCGAATGTTGGCATTTCTCGGTAGTATCTCAGAACGGCAAGAGAGAGAGAGATCAAATTAATATAGATATATTTTTAATATTAATAATATTATTTTTAATATTAATAATATTATTTTTAATATTAATAATAATTTATAGTAATAAAGAGTTAATTATAATCTTAATTATTATCAAAGAACTAAATTGTGATCAGCTGACATCATAATATACGAGGTGAGTTATAACAAGACAGAGTATATAACCGCTTTTAAAAAAGTAAAATGTGTACATTAGATATGTTGAGAACAATTTAAATAATTTTAACATACATACATAACCAACATAGTATTTTTCTTCAGAGATGATCGTTTTTCTCAAAATTGTAGTATTTATAAAAATATTATATAGAGGAAAAAGATTTTAATTTTACATGTGCGTGTATTATTATATTATCTTAAAAATAAATTCAATTTAACTTAAAATCAAACACCTAATAAAAAAATTCTTTATTAAATTATGCCAATGTGATTAAATCTAATCAATTTAAATTAATATTATATATTGCATTTACTGAAATATATATTAAAAAATTATGATTCATTTCTCTTAAAGTTAGATTTTTAAAATAAAAGGTTATGTAATATTTGTTATATACTGTCTCTTTTTCATAAATAATGATAGCAGTAATTAAAGAAAATTTATCACTATAAAATTTATCACTATAAAATTTATCACTATGTAATATAAAAACCTGTGTGAGATACATAATGTGTTAAATTATGATAGAGTTGAAAATTGATTACTTAAAAACTATACATTTCATTTGTTCATATTTTTACTGGAATAATATTTCATCATTTATGGAATACAAAAAAAAACGTTATTATACATATAATATATTACACGACGTATTGCGAAATTCATATTAATTGAATTTTTCTTTTGAAATCTTTTAATCTACTTATATAATAAGAAAATATATTAATTTTAGACATTTAATATAAAAAGAGTTTATTTAGCCAATAAATTAAGAGGCAATGAATCGTTACAATATTTAGCCAATAAATAAAGAGGCAATGAATTGTTTGTGTATAAGAAAGAAAATAAAAGTATAAAATACAATTTCTTGATTGCTCCAAAGTTTTTCATAGATAATTACTTTCAAAATAAAATATATATGTTGAGGATTAATTTAATCAAATATTGTGTTTATTGACTAATAAAACGTTAAACCTGACTATTATGATTTTAAATGTCATTTTATTGACATGTTTATTATAACGTTGAACGATGTTATTTCTCGATAAATTCCCAGAACGTTAAGAGCAAGTTGATATAGGTAGGAAGAAATTTGAAAAAAAAGTGGCATGGCATTCCTAAAAGTGTTAAGTTGCAGTCTAATATTCATTATCGCGGCGGCTCTTTTTATTGATGAACGTATGTCCATACCAAAACTCGACATATTATATCCGCAACATTATAACATCAACTTTGTACTAAATGTCAACTACGATGTCTTCCATGGCGAATATAATGTCAGCATTTATATTCCTTATGAAACGGAAAATATATACGTTTACACAGAAAATCTAACTATAACTCGAGTTAGAGTAACAAACGATGTACAAATAGCTAAAGAAAATAAAGAAGCTTTTTCCCATAGCACTGATGATTTTATCTATGACAATGAAATATGTATAACTATCATTTCTTTCCCGTATAATTTATCGTTAGGATTTTACACTCTGAATATAAAATTTATGGGACTTTTAGCTGAAAATGGAGGATTCAGAAATTACATAAATCAACAAAATGATAGAATGTGAGTAATTTTTAAAATGTTAAATATTTAGGTCTAATTACATTAATTTCTCTCTCTTTCTCTATCTTGTTTCAATTCTTTACAAAGTATTCGTATTATTATCAAGGCATGGTCTTAATATATGTATATGTGTATCTGTATGATTTAATAAATTATTACTTAAACATAGTTTTCTTTCTCTTACAGTTCGCGGAAAGTTGTCTGATAAATAATAAATTCTGTGAAAGCATTTTTACATTGTACAATTATAATATAAAACATGTTACTATTATTCTTTAAACAGTGTGTTAAGATGTATTTTTTTTCTCGTTTTTTTCCCTTTTTTTATTTTTTCTATTTTTCCTTATAACTTCTAAGACTTCAGCAATAACTGAAAATTTTTTGTATTATTTAAAATATACTGTTATATATGCTAGGTGGTTGGCCGCAACGCATTATTACAAATTTGCGATTCGAAGATTATTTCCACTTTTAAAGGACACTATATATGCTAGTTATAGCATTTCTATAAAGCATCATGAAAACTTCATGGCTTTATCAAATATGCCTAAGATATGGGAGGAAATAAAAGTGGATGGAAATAATATGCAATGGACACGCTTCCAAATTACTCCCGTAATGCCCGTTTATTTCATAGCGGCGGGTGTGTTTAATCTCTTCTTTATTACAAGTTGGAATACCAAATTGTTGTGCAGAAAAGACATACTGCCATATATGACATTTGCACACAATGTTGCTCAAAATATTGCGTGGTTTTTGCCGCAAATCAGGAAAACTAAAGAAACTAATCACATTGCGATTCCGGAATTACTCAATGTGGAAGAGATAATATTGGGATTCGTTCTTTATAGGTAAGTATTTTTTGGTATAAGTAAATATATTTAGAGAGGAATGTCAATATACATAAAAAAATAATATATTTCTCGCTACTCTATATTATAGAATTCAAATTTATGTATCTTTTTATATTATTTTATAATCCCAATAAATAATAATAATAATAATAATAATAATGTATTACAATTTAACATGTAGAGTAATTTGCGTATGTGTGTACGTGTGTTTTTTTTGTATTGAACATAATATATAATATATTATTTCTTGTTCAAAGCAATTATACATTTCTTTTTTATCTATTTAAGGATGTTTTGTACCTATTTTCAAAATATTGAGAATTTAATAAAAATTGTACAGAATGTCTTTACATATGTTTAAAATCTTCAGTACAATTTTTAAATCGATTAAGTAAAATATTCACAAGTTATATGGATTTTAATTTGTACCGAATTAATATGTATTCTTATGAGAAACGTATAATCACGTCGATTCAAATGACAAAAACATATGAAAATAATATTCAGAATTTGTTTAAAATTTGCAAAAGTTTAGATACAGAGGAAATAATTGGTCAAATAATATTATATAAGAACTAACTAGTTAAAAAGATATTAAATATAATTCAATGAAGTTAGCCATGTATCTGTTACAAGGAGAAATTTTCTGCCAAAAATTAATCATTCTACACAACTTTTTACTCAAAATACACCAAAAGTGGATATATTCGTCAATATTGATTTTCAGCTACTTTTTGCTGGGATTGTACATGCAAAACATCTTTAATTTAATAATTCAATTTATCTATAATATAACTAATTTTCATATATATAACATATTTATAATAAGCAGTCTCGTCTTTATTGGAATATTTGCGAATTATTTTTAGAGAAGAAGATATTATCTTTAATGAAAAAATATATGCTGAGATACGCAAAATTGAAATAGCGCGAGTAATAGGATATAAGGTGGCACACGAATGGCTTTATAATGCAATCGATCCGTATAAGTGGGAACCATGGTTAAGCAAAGGCTTCGCTACATATTATGGAATTTACGCTGTCGATCAGGTTATTTTATATTTGGCATTAATTATTTCAACCACACACACATAATCAGAATAATGTAAAAATATTCAGACTTCTATATACCGAATTTAAAATATTTCTCAACTTTTGTAAATGTTTTTTATCATTCAATATATACTAACGTAAGTTACGTCGGGATTTTATTTCTAAAATTTCTGATCTATACGATAACACAGGACTGCGGAATTTTAGGTTTGGTTAATTACAAAAGGCAGAGTAGGTGAATCTGATAGACATTTTGATAGACGAATCTGACCGCAGAATTTCTTCAGAATTTCTTCAGGTTTTTGAGTAATTTATAATTAAATAGTCCAAAAATATAGTTAATAATAATAAATATAGTTAATAATAAATAATAATTCGGCAAATATCATGAATTTATTATGGAAGAACCTAATTTTTTTAAAATATTTCTGCCAATGGTATCGTATAATATTAATTTTCACCTTTCAAATCCATTTTCGATTACTTTCGCACGATTTTTTTCGCTGAGATATACAAATATAAAGTTATAAGAAAATTTTGTAACTAACCGAACCTAACGAAACCTAAAATTTCGCAGACCCGTGTAATTAGCTACTAACCACATTGTAGTAATTTAGAAAAGCAAAATTAAATTAAAATATCATAATTTATATATATTAACATATATACTTTTAAATAATTTTAAAAATACATAATTTGATTGAATGTCAAAAATATAATTGAATGTCATTAGATATCTAAATTTTTTTTAAATTTAATAAGAAAAATACAATAACAAATGTGTGTAAACTTTTTTAAATATATTGTAACAGTTTGAATGTATGTTGTTAATGTGTGTGAGCATTTGTTGTGATTAAATATTTAGACTTAAATATTTAGATTATTTATTTAGATTAAAATTTTTACGCGTCCAGAAATTCCCAGATTTTCGGATACAAGATTTCTTTGTGGTTCAAATGCAACATGATTTTCTTCATTGGAGCACCAAGGACACATGGCCACTTACAATCAAATCGGAATTCAATAGCTCTTTTAAAGTACCTCGTTTCATCAAAGGTATCAATATCAAGCAAATAATTAATTATTGATAGTTTGATTCTTTAATGCTGCATATAAAACATTATAATAAAAAAATAAACTGACTTTTTTTACATGTAAGTTAGTTATTTTATATAATTTATTTATATTATTGTTTACATAAATATTAATATCTACCAGAAAAATAAAATAAACTTTTGTTTATCATACAAATAAGTTATTCCTATAAATTTATATGTATCCAAATAATTTATAGCAAATTTATTTTATTCATACTTCACTTTTACTTTATAATGTCAATTTTCGTAGCAAGCCTTATGTTCTACACGTTGCAAACTTCCTCAGAAAAAGTTTTCAGGAAAAGTATCAAAAGATATTTAAATTATAAGTGAGTAATACAAATTACAACATAATTATATTATAAATTTAAGTACATATTTAAGTACATATTTTTGAAATGTATATTTGTATACTTCTCGACCTTCTTTCCTATTCCTTTAATCATTTTTGTGTTTTTAAATTTAATGATATTTAATTTTTACTACTATTTTAAGACTTGTTAATTTTACTTTTGTTAATTTTTACCGTTTATTGTGTTTTTATTTATTATTATTTTAATTTTCGTCTTCTTTTAATTTTCTTTAACTTTTTCTTTTATCTGTATTTTCGTTTTAATTCTTGTTTTTTATATTTTCCCATATGTTCTCCACTCGTGCCTTAAAATTCTTTTTATTTAAATATTTTTTAATTTCTTTTCTGTAACACATTTGTCTTTTTTACTTACTATTCTATTTATTCTTTTCCACCATTTACCATCAATACTTTCTTATCGCTCTAATTTTACTTAATATAATTTACACTACTATCACTACTGCTCTTTCTTTTTACTTCGTCCTTTAAAATTTTTAATTGCGTTACAATATTTTTCTTAAGATATTTTCTTTTATTAATTTTTCTTATCATTCGCTTCTATTTTTAGTTATATAAGCAGTAGTGATTTCTGGAACGAAATGCAAGCTGTCATGTCAGAATCATCTTCCAAAATGAAATACAAATTAGAAGACAAAATAACTAATTGGACACAGCTAAATTATTATCCTGTGATAAATGTGGAAAGAAATTATGATAAAAACAGTTTGAATATATCTGTAGAAGATTTTAATGTAGATATATGGATATTGAATGAATATATAGATATGAATATTGTTACGGAGACCCATTTGAAAAATATTTCGATTCACGTGTGGCTAGTACCACATATTTCACATATTATTACAGATCTCAAGAACGAGAATGACTCTGTATTGGTCAATTCACAAAGTGGTAAATATTTATGATAAATTTATTATACTTTTAGATACGTAGCTCTTTTTTCAGATATGCTGCACTACTTTGCAAATTCATACTTTTTCTTAAAAATAATTACGTATTTTTTTTATATTACATAAATTGATCGTCTCATTATTCTATGCGTAGAAGTATTTAGGTAATCAAAAAATAAATATTTTAAGAGATACTTTATAGTTTTTGTTTAAAATTTTGTTAACTTAAAGTATAAAATATTTCGTAAACTATTCAATTTTTTACTATCTTATCTTTACAACTTTTTACGGGGAATATTGTAAGAAATTGATTTTATACAAAAATTATATATAGAATAGTTCCATTTCAAAAAAATTAGGTTGACTTTGACTTTTACATCCAAGCTCCATATAAAGTATAGATATTCTTAACTTCATTCCCCTTCAAAACTTTACAACTTTTATTTGAAACCTTTTTTCCAAAACGCCTGTTTTCGAGTTATTACTGTGTAAAAGTGGGACACTGTATTGTATAATTCAATATATAATTCAACATAATTCAATTTATTTAAATTATAGAAGAAGCAAACCTTTTTATATTAGTTAGAGAACTTTTTTTAGGTCCAACTATGCTTAAAATTATTCAATATTTAAAAATTTAATTATTGAATAGTTTAATTATTATATTTAACTAAATATGATAATTTGTAATTTGCTACACACACATATGTATAAATTAGCTATTTTTATATCTGATTATTTCTATTTGATAAATTAGGTCTACATACTGTACTGTTATTATAATAAAATTTTACTATATAATCTAAAGATTGTACAATCTAAAGATTATATGTACATATATTAAAACGTTACACACAATGAAATATATGGTATAATTATCATTTTTGATTATCAATGTAGTCAAAATGAATTTATGTTGACATAATGTTTTTATTACATTGATTTATCAGTGTAACATAATTTAATATTCAATCCACAATTTGCTTCTTATAATAATTGCAAACTTTTAATACATAATTTCTAACATTTTTTATAGAAATATAAGTAGATATTTCAAATTATTACTAAACAAATTCGAATTTATAAAAAAATTTAATTTATTTAACTGATAGAATTTATTTATCATACAATAGGATGTTATCGCGTCAATTATGATGCCAGGAATTGGAATAGACTTTCGCACTACCTGAACTCCAAATTCTTTGGAAAAATACATGTTCTCGATCGTGCTAAAATCATCGACGACGCATTTCATTTTCTGATGACAGGTCGACTAAATTCTACTGTATTCTTGGATATTTTACAGTATCTGAGGCGAGATACAGATTATATCGCATGGTATCCTATGTTCAAAAACTTGGAATATATCTCGGGTTTCTTAGCACATCCAGAAAGCGCATATAGTCCTATAAAGGTATAATAATATCAATTTTTATAAGTAAAAAAACGTGCGTTTTATGTTAAATAATTTATATATTTATATTAACTGTATACACAATATATTTATAACTTAAAATTATTTTCGATAAATTATAGATAATAAATTATACATAATATTTTCATTAATATTTAACTCTCTAAGATTCACAAAACAACTTCCGCTTCTAAATTTTTATGAAATTAATATTATGACATTAATATCAAATTGTATTATTTAGATGTACTATAATTACGCATTTATTACTATGTTTTTAACTTTATAAAAACATTGTTATATTACTTACATTTTAAATAATAACATATGCGTATGCACAAACTTTATCAATTCTTCTATAAGATATAAATAAGTAT